AATGAGGTGTGTTATATTCGGTGGTCCATTGCATTTATTGCTTATAAGAATTTTCTATTACTCACAGTAGAATAAATTAACATTACCTTACGTAGTGGGACAGCAGTGTGAATGTTGCTTAAGGTAAACTTCATGAATGTGTATTAGAAGAATTTCAAAATTTTGTGCATGTTGAATTTAGTATTGAATTTTATAACTAATCTTTGTGAGTATAGTACTTTTAGTAATCAGGTGTTAATAAAATTAAAAATGTTCATGCAGTGAAACCATCGGTACGACCAAATACCAATCAACGGTCATAGTCTCCCAAACAATAGCTGAAGCCATTTTGTATTTAAGCGCAGTACTAGACTTGAGTCTAGATCGCTGCAATTTACAGTTGAGTAATTGTAAGCCCTATACTAACAGATTCTTTTCTCGCACTTCTTGCTTGTTGAACTCTCTACCGACTCCATGCTTTTCAGTGAATCTTAATCTTCAAAAATTTAAATGCCAATGTCAATCGCTATCGACTTGTCTTCTGATTACTATGTCATGAAAATGAAACACATACACAGGGAAAATAATGTGATTCTAAATAAAATGTTGGCAGAGAAAGAAAGCGATAAGGTCCCTCAAGCCTTGTGTTATTTTCTTGAATAAAATCTTTTTTACGTTATTCACAGCTATTCACTCAACTTTACAGTCAGTTACAACGTAATACCAGTTCTTCTTTAATTACAATTGGTTTAAAATTGGAAGCATATCCACCCTATCAAAATGAATTCAAACCTCTCCGCATTCCAAATATACATGTCCTGGGTATGATGATAAACTGCATCCGGCAGCAAGGCCTCTGATCGGAAGTTTTTGAAACTACTACTTAATTGCTGCCTTTTCCAGGTTCAACCTGATCCGGTGTGGTAGCACCTGTAAGGGTTCCAACTATGGGCAAATAGTGAACACCAAAACTAGGCTCAAAATATAAAGATATATTAGACGAAATTACCAATAATTTTCATAGCAAAACAATAAAAAATTACCAGCAATACATTTTTCGAAAAAAATACCAATGCTCACAAAATAAAATTCTGGCATTGACCCATAAGAGTTGTTAGGCCGTTAAACAAACAACCCAAATTATGCGGTATGATCAAAAAGTATCGCGATTGGTGCTATAAATGAAAACTACAACATATATAACTTCGGCATTTAATCTCATTCGTAGTAGCCCCCTTCTTAAGCCAACCATTTTATACAGTGTCGCTTTCATTGATAGACGCATTACTGGAACTTCTTTTTGGGAAATAAGGAGAAGATGACGCGTCGCAGCCACTTGAATTTTTGAAATCTTGTTCCCTTTCAAGTTGGATTTGATTCTTAAAGAGGAATTATGTCGCAGAAGGCGATATCTGAGGAATATATAGCAGTTGTCGATGAATGGCATACTTTGTCCATGGTCACTGATAGATCCTTTGAGACGTGTTGAGATGATCGCACTTAACACATTTTCATTCCATGCTATGCTAACAACAACGGAAGTTTGCGAGCGCGCTATAATTTAGTGTGCATGCGCGAGAGAGTCCAAGGTCAGTCTGTATCAAGGCGGCTTCACTCTGCATACTTTGCCTAGAAATAGTTCTAATCGGTTTGGATCTCGTAGACCTCAATTTGGTCTCTTTTATTGTCAATCGTTGTACGTGTGTCGATCAAAAAGTAATTTATGTTATTTTAATTGCAATGGAGCAAGACTACTTCATTGTGGAACACTATTGTCCGCTAACTTCTATGATCTCGTAGTTTTTGGGTTTTTTTAATCAGTCGCCATTATTTTGTTGAGCGGCTAAAACTTTCTGCAGTAGCAGACGGCAGCAGAGTGTTTTCGTGATACAGCCTTGCTCATATGTAGCGCCCTATAGGAATACTACAGTAATGCATGTATATATATATATATATTTTTTTTTTTTTTTGCTTAGACATTTTTAATGCTTATATTGCATGAAAATGTTTCCTCTGTGTGTCTTTTCCATAAATCATTTCACGGAAATTGTTAGGATGATCTCTTTGCTATGGTAACTGAATATTTTGCATTTAAGTGCAGTGTTAGTCTAGTACTCAGCAATTTACAGTTGAGCTGCATAGATGTAACCGTAAGCTTTATAAAAACAGCTTCTTTTCTTGCACTTTTTGCTTATGGAACTCTCTTCTAGCCCCATGCTTTCCCGCGAATTTTAATCTTCAAAAAATTAAATGTAATGTCAATCGCCATTGACTATGCTCTTGATTACTCGTTTATCTTCCCGCTCATTATTAATGCTTCTGTTGCTAATTCTTCAACACCCTGTAACTCTTTGTGTCTTAGTGGCTTTACTGCCTTGCATGGGGGTGATACCCATTAAAAAAAAGTAAAATAAAAACAAACAATAAAAAGCTTTTTTGGAAGCATTAATGATTGTTTTATTTCCGGCTTTAAGCGTTATTCTACATTGCATAAGACAGGAATATATATGCGGAATGAACTGTTTACATAATAATTATTTTCTGAATGATTTCTGTCATTCGGCATTTCTGTGATCCGACTCTTGTCTAGTCCAAAGGGTAACAGATTAAAGTTGTTGAACTGTAGCTCTAATTGTAGCAACATCTGAACCCTATCAAAATGAAATGAATTTCAAAATAACAGCCCTCAACATAGTAATCTTATTTTAATTTTCAAACGTCACACACATGTTTGTGTTAATGTATTTTCTTTTTTAATTACTCCAGATCTAATGGATTGATTTTTTACGGCTTATCTACCTTTTGCAAGTTATTTAAAGCCAGAGCCTATTTTTAGTTTGCAACAAATTTTTGTAGATAATAACGACTTACTGATACAAGTCATACTAATTAACCCATAGCTGGGGGGAAGAAATCGTTGATTCATACCTTTCCCAATGCTATTTGTACGTAAGTGAACATGCCGAACCCGACTCTGGTTTCCTATTAGAAGCCGTTATCTATTAAACCTCCCGAGCATCCAAGCTTACAGCATCTGCTATTTCCACGCGGTTACCCATCTCGGTACTGACCCGTCTCACAGATGAAGAGGAGGCGACAGAAATGTTGTTCTACAGAAGGATGCTGAGAATGTCCTAGACGGAGCGCTGAAGCAAAGAAGAGAAACAGAAGCAAAAAGGCCAGAAATAATAAAAAAGATTGTTGAAATTTTTTTGACATATCTTGAGGAATGAGAGATTGGAGAATTCGACACTCCCAGTGCATATCGGAAATTATAAGAGAAAGCAACTAAACATTTACCTGACGAGCTTGTGTCAATGAATGGCGTAACAGAGAATGGTTGTCTTGGCAAAAGTTGAAAAAGGCATAGGGGATTATGGCTAGCCATAATCGACCCCGTTTTGAAGGGATACGGAATAGTGAAAAAGATATTTGATGTCTCACTCTCTTTTTAATACTTTTCAATGCAAATTCTTATTCATTCCTTATACATTATTACAGAAAAAAACAGAATAATCTATTTTTGTAAATAATTGCTTGTATAACTGTCCGAAATGGTAACATAAGTGGATTGAAGAATTGGACAATGCTTCCGTCTTTGATTTAAAAATTAGCCTCCAGATTCAAAAGCAGTTTCTTTGGGCGCACGCAAAATGGCGATTGTTTGATCTCGACGTGTGTTGGTCTTTCTTATTGGCGGCAATTATAACAACTCCTTACCAGGTCTCAATTTATTGAAGTTACAGCTTCACTGCACACTACTTGTAAAATTTAACACACCCTTCTAATACATGTGTGTTATGATAGTTCTATATAAATGATCATTTTTCAAAAACTAAATGCGCACTTTCGAATACATTCTACTTTTATTACTAAACAGAGTGAGAAACAGGAAATCGAAAATCGGGTTTTCTGACTTTTGATTCATTTTTTAACCAGGCGAAAAAGAAAATCACAATGAAATACTGGACGGCAACATCATTTCGTAATAGAGTAGAATCCTTCATATCCGGAATCCTTCATATCCGGAATTCCCTCATATCCGGAGTACCTCATTTCCGGTATCCTGCATATCCGGACATTATTTTGATGTGTATATTTGAGTTGCGTGATATGAAACTGATTTGAAATTGCTGTTTTTCAGGAAATTTACTTTGGATAATTGCTTATGCTTATTTCACCCTAATGGCTTGTATTGGTGCAAAAGATGATGGAGAATAAGAGGAAAGGGTGACAACGAGATGCATCTGCAACAAGATAGCGATGTGATGCATGATTGGGATGAAACCTGGACAGAAATTGAATAAGAAAGTTTGTCAGTTTTATGGAAAGAAAGCCAGCATCTAGCTATGACGATTGCAATAACTCACGCAGAGTTAAAAATTGTATTTCGTTGAAAAAAATTTCAACAACAAAGCAAACCGAAAGGTGGGAAAAGTTGAGAATGACGTTAGAAGAGAAAGAATCATCATACAACAGCGATTAAAAAATCCTCGTTACATTATTTGTTTTGCATACGTGGCATACATAATTTAATGAATTTTCATTAACATTACATAATTTATTTCTTTTTCCTCAGAATCACTTCCGTTATATTTCAATCACCATTATCTTATTTTGTTTACAATAAAACACTGAAAATAAATGTTAAAGCTGATTTCAGTTCTTTTATTTTAATCTAAATATAACCTCTTATATCCGGACTTTGTAATCGGAAGCCCTTCTTAGTCCGGTTGTCACGGATTCTATTGTATTATATTATTCATATATAAATAAACATTACAACGGGATTACGAAAATATTAGGTTTAAATACCGGTCATCGTACGGATAAGTGACAGTTTCGAAATACAAAGTGCTGTAAGCTTGGATATGCCGGTGCAATGGCTTACGGCCATATCACGTTGAAATACGGATTATCGTACGATCACCGAAGGTAAGCAACATCGAACCTGGTCAGTAGCTAAATGGGTTACCGTTTGGGAATACCACCTACTGTAAGCTTGGATCTGCAGTTGGCATGACAATATCATGTTGAAACACCGGTCCTTGTACTATCATCGAAGTTAAGCAACGTCAAGCCTGATCAGTACCAAGGTGGGTGACAGTTTGGGAATACCAGGTGCTGTAATCTTGGATCTGCAGCTGGTATAGCTTACGGTCAAATCATGTAGAAGTACCGTTCCTCGTACGCTCACCGTTGGTAAGCAACATCGAGCCTGGTCAGTAGCTAGATGGGTGACCGTTTGGAAATACCAGGTATCGTAAGCTTAGATCTGCAGCTGGCATAGCTTACGGCCATATCATGTTTAAACACCAGTTCTCGTATGATCACTGAAGTTAAGAATCGTCGAGACTTGTACGTACCTAGATGGGTAACCATTTAGGAATACCTGGTGCTCTAAGCTTTGATATGCGGGTGGTATGACTTATGGCCATATCATGTTGAAACACTACTTCTCATAATATCACTGAAGTTAAGCAAGCTGGAGTATGGCCAATACCTAGATGAGTGACCACTTTGGAATACCAGTTCCTGCAAGCTTGGACGTTCTGGTGAAGTAATGGATAACTTTCATATAACGTTGAAACATTGGTTCTCGTACTATCACCGAAGTTAAGCAACGTCGAGCATGGTCAGTAACTTAATAGATGAGCGTTTGGCACTACCACGTATTTTAAGCTTGGATGTGGGGATGGTGTAATGGAAAATGGCTTGCAGCTGAAAAGCGAATAGCGTAGTTCTAATTCCAGTCGGGTTTGTTATGTTCATTTACGCGCAAATATTCTTGGGTAAAGTATGAATTCATTTCTTCTCCCACTTCCAGCAGTAATGGGTTAAATAGTAGAACTTTTATTAGTAAATCATTATTATTTAAAAAAAACTCTTATAATTTTCTGGTTTTAAATAACCTTCAAAAGGTCGATAAACCGTAAAAAACAATCAGTCACGCTTTGCCCTGATCTTGTTATAATTACCAATATTGAGTAAAGGAAACATCAAACTTTACGATGGAAATCCTGGTGAACAAACTCAGCGTAAACAAAGTTCAAACACAATGCGACTCTTCGAAATATTGTGCCATCCATAATTCAAATATACTATCTCCACTTTGATATTTCTGGTATTCTGAAATTTCTTGTATTCTGAAATTTCCGGTACTCTGAAATTTGTGGTACTCTGAAATTTCCGGTAATCTGAAATTTCTGGTATTCTGAAATTTCCGGTAATCTAAAATTTGTGGTACTCTGAAATTTCTGGTACTCTGAAATTTCCGGTAATCTGAAATTTGTGGTAATCTGAAATTTCTGGTATTCTGAAAATTCCAGCACTCTGAAATTTCTGGTACTCTGAAATTTCCGGTACTCTTAAATTTCTGGTACTCTGAAATTTCTGGTATTCTGGAATTATGCTGTTATGAGGGAACTTATGGACCTGGCGAGACACAAAATAACATATAATCGCACCGAAAAGTTCTGAAAAGTTCGGTACTCTGAAATTTCCGGTACTCTGAAATTTGTGGTACTCTGAAATTTCTGGTAATCTGAAATTTCTGGTACTCTGAAATTTCTGGTATTCTGAAAATTCCAGCACTCTGAAATTTCTGGTACTCTGAAATTTCCGGTACTCTGAAATTTCTGGTATTTTGAAATTTCCGGTTACTCTTAAATTTCTGGTACTCTGAAATTTCCGGTACTCTGAAATTTCTGCTACTCTGGAATTATGCTGTTATGATGGAACTTATGAACCTGGTGAGACACAAAATAACATATAAGCCCACCGAAAAGTTCTGACAAATCTACGAAATATTTCCTGAGTCTGAACATATACGGATTCCACTAAATTGTCCACTCACCGAGCACTCTACCCGTTTGTGATTTTGTTCTAACTTTTTAATAACGGTAGTCATCAGCAGAAACAGATCTGATTTTTAAAATCAGCTGTGTGCTTTTAGTTTTAAGTTTTCATCAAACGAAACAGCCCAAGATTAGAACTGATAACTGGAGATAATGTGTAAATATCTAAGAAGTGTTGTAGGAGAGGACGAAAATTACTACACCGGAATCTAAAGTCGTATAAGAATAGCGAAAGGGGACTTCGTAAAGCTAAGTAAAGTATTAAGACAAAAGAAACTATCATTAGAAAAAAAAGAAAACAGTACTGAACTGTTATGTAATATCAATCCTCCTATGAATTGAATTGAATGTTGGACAGTCTCCACGTAGACATAAGAGACTTGAAGCAAGAGAAACAAAGAAGAGGTTGCTGAACTGTAATGTAGTCGTCCTATACGGCAGTGACAGTTGGACAATCTCCTCTGAGAGGATTAAAAAGTGACCTGAAGCAATAGAAAAAAAGTGTGCCGAACTGTTAAGTAATATCAGTCCCCCCCTATATGGCAGTGATTTCTGGACAATGTCCTCAGAGAGAAAACAGAAACTTGAAACACGAGAAACAAAGCAAAGTTTGCTGAACCGTAATGTAATATCAGACTGTGATAGATAGATAAATAGATAGATAGATAGATAGATAAACAGACGGTGATAATATATTTGAATAGACTGTGATAGATAGATAGATAGATTAGATAGATAGATAGATAGATAAACAGACGGTGATAATATATTTGAATAGACTGTGATAGATAGATAGATAGATAGATAGATAGATAGATAGATAGATAGATAGATATGAATAGACTGTTAAATAGATAGTTAAATACATAATGAACAGACGGTGATAGATATACATGAATAGACTGTGATAGATAGATAGATAGATAGATAGATAGATAGATAGATAGATAGATAGATAGATAGACAGATATATAATGAACAGAGGGTGGGAGATATATATGAATAGACGGTGAAGACATATATGAATAAACTGTAATAAAAAGTTAGATAGATAGATAGATAGATAGATAGATAGATAGATAGATAGATAGATAGATAATGGTGATAGATCGATATATATAAATAAATTGAGATAGATAATGAACAGACAGTGGTAGATATACATGAATAGACTGTGATAGATAGATAGATAGATAGATAGATAGATAGATAGATAATGAATAGACAGTGATAGACATATATGAATAGACTGTAATAAAAAGATAGATAGATATATAGATAGATAGATAATGGACAGATGATGATATATATATATATATATATATATATATATATATATATATATATATATATATATATATATATATATATATAAATAGTTTGAGATAATGAACAGACAGTGGTAGATATATATGGATAGTCTGTGAAAAGAAAGTAAAAAAGGGTGCTGAATTATAATATATCAGTCCTCCTATATGGCAGTGAACCTGGATAATCTCCTCTGAAACAAAGAAGAGACTTGAAGCAATAGAAACAATGAAAAGTGTGCTGAAATGTTCCCAGAATTCCCTTGTTTTTTGTTGTTGTTTTTTAATTGATTACATCCTCAAGCTTTCCAATATCTTACCTTTAGTGAATGAGATAATCAGCTACCTCAAAAAAGAGTTCGTGTTTTGTGTACGATCTGCCGAAGATAAATTACCAAAAAGTAGTTAGCAAAAATCTACTTTAAGGACCAGAATCTATGCTAATATATAGTAAAGGTAATAAATCCGTTTGTATATAACCCAAGCGGATCCTAGTAATATAAAATATTAAAAATGATCCAAAAAAGAGCTCAATATATTTATTATAACAGAGCCAATAAATAGTATTGCACAACAAAATCCAAAATTACGTCATATAGATCAATCTCAACCGACGAAAACTACGTCAGTCTTATTCAACCCCGGTGTATAGACCGAGTTTGTGTCGTAATTAGAAATTTAACTGTGACAGCCGTCGAAAAATTAATACAAAAATAAAAAATAATAATTTCAGCACTTGACAATTGTTTCGGCATAAAACTAGTTGTGCAATATATATATATATATATATATATATATATATATATATATATATATATATATATATATATATATATATCAGGTCATCCCATAAGTTCTGTCCGAATTTTAAATAAAGAAAACAAGTAACTAAATGTTACATTTAATTACTGATTCAATCAACAATGTATTTTCCCTGATTATCTATGACTTCCTTCCATCTATTAACAAGCTTACTAATTCCATTACTGTAAAATTCTTTTGGCTTTGATTCAAAGACCTCACAAATGTCAGTTTTAACCTCCTCCTGTGTTACAAAAGCTGTTTCTTCCAAATGATTCTGTAAGCTACGAAACAAATGGTAGTCTGAAGGAGCAAGATTTGGAGAATAAGGTGGATGAGGAATTTTCTCCCAACCAAGTTCTTCGATCTTTTGTGACGTGATTCATGCTGTGTGGGATCGCGCATTATCCTGATGAAACATCACCTCTTTTCGATTCACTAGAGCAGGTCTTTTTTTCCTCAAAGCTTGGTTCAAACGCTCTAATTGCTGACAGTATATTTGAGCATTAATTGTTGCATTAGGTGGTAAGAATTCAAAGTGGATTATACCTTGGCGATCCGACCAGATTGAAAGAAGAATCTTTCGCCCATGAAGTTCCCTTCTCAGCCCCTTTACCAAGCCACTGTCTACGATGCTTAATATTTCGATAAACGATCCATCTTTCGTCGCCAGTCACTATTCACAAAAGGCGAAACAAGTTGGCGAGAATGGAGAGAAGAGCAGATGTCAACTCGGGATTTGAGGTTGTTTTCAGACAATTCATGAGGGACCCATTTTCCAAGTTTAGGAACTTTTCCAAGTTGTTGAAGATGACGATGAACAGTTGTATGGTTTGAACTGAGAACCACTACCAATTCTTCAACTGATAAAGCAGGATTTTCTTCAAGAGCTGCTTCAAGAAGCTTTTCATCAAACTCAACTGGACGTCCGGTTCGATCTTCATCTTCAAGGGTGAAATCTCCACCTCTGAATTTTGCAAACCATCTTCTGCAAGTTCTTTCATTCACACATTCCTCTCCATAAACTGAGTGAATGTTTCTAGCCGCTTCGGCTGCTGAGTTTCCTTTCTTGAACTCATAAAGCATTATGTGCCTCAAATGATTCTTGGGTACTTCCATGTTAGCAGGGTTTTAATCAAACAAAATTTAATTTTATTGTTCTCTGAAATAAAATTTGATCAGTAAAAATGCATCTAAACATAAAAATAATGTTCAGCTGCATTAGACATTATAAAATACTCTTTAAATTTCGTTCATTTTAACAAAAATTTAAAATTCGGACAAAACTTATGTGATGACCCGATATATATATATATATATATATATATATATATATATATATATATATATATATATATATATACAGTAGTGGCCATAATATAAGGAACGGAAACAACAAAGACATAAATATGTGTATTACTTAAAAAAGTAATGC